TCTGTGAGATGCCAAAGCCCCATCGCAGCCTGGCTTTAAGAACAGTAAGAAGAGTTACCTCTCACAGCAGGAAGGCCAGAGGTGGGGCTGGGGATGTCCCCAGGGTCCACTGTGTCTCTCCTGCTGTTCCATTCTGGGCATTCTTTGTCCCCAAGTCAGTTTCCATATGGTCAGCAGGTGGCTGTCAACAGCCATGGGACAATACCTTCTTTGTTCTTTTCATGGGTGGGAATATGGACCATGACTCCTTCCCCTTGGTCCTAGTCTGGCAGTGTACCACACTGGGGTCCACATCTGGCTCCGGGAGCATGCCCTGTGCTGGAGCCATGTCTGGAGCTACAAAGTCGTGGATTCTCTGAGTCTCGTGGGGAGCGAGGGAGGGGTGGCTGTCTGCAAACACAGGGTTGTGTTAGGAAAGGGAGGATATGGAGTGGATGCTGGGTGGATCAGCAGTGTCTTCAAGGTTGCTGATTAGTGTCCTTGACCTGGGTGCCCAAGAGGCAGAGGGTCACCTCTGACCTGCACCCAACGTGCTACAGTCAGCACAGCCAGTGACATTTGCTGTCTGCTCTCTGCCTCCGTCTTCTTTGGAAAGAATCTTCTTAGGGTTTAAATCCTTTGTTTCCAATGATGGTGATGCAAAGTGACAGTTTCTGCCTCAGCACTGATCAGCTTTTGCTCGAAATCAGATGAAGGCAGCCAAGTGTGTCCAAACTATTTCGAAGTGCCAAATTCTCTGCAGCCCTTTATTAACCATGAAGGTGCCTCAAAACCTCTCTCTCCCCTCCCTGTTATATACTTCATTTGTTAGGTGGAACCTAACTGAATGAAATTGCTATTTTTGCACATCAAAATTGGCCCAAGTATTCATGCATTCATGTTTCAACCTGTATATGAATCCTGACCTCCTCCACAGCCCTGGGAGGAGGGTGCTGTTCCACTTATTTTTACTGTCAAGAAACCAGAGATCAGAGGAAAAGGCCACCCAGTAGGTCAGGGAGCTGGAGTTTGAACGAGTCATATGGCTTTTTATCTTCAAGCTTCCCCAGACAGCACACACCCTCTTCTGGGGGCTGCCTGCCACCAGGAGTGCACCAGGAGGTCAGTCTGCTGGTTTGGGACCCCATGTGATAACTGATTGATTAGTGGGCCTTTAGGTTTGCTCTTTCAGAGACTCGGCTGTCTGTTAAACTAATTTGTGGAGTCGGCTCCTTGAGACATGTTCTGATGGTCCCTGGCCAAGCCAGGGTGGAAGAGATGGCACAGTGCTGGCAAGGGGAGGACTCCAGAGGAATCTCAGAGCAAGCTTCAGGGACTGGAGCAGACCTGCTGTCCATGGCGGAGAGGTGCCCAAGACTGTTCAGAGGACCCAGTGCCCACCTCCTCCTTGTGGCATGGGGCTGGGCTGGAGGCCTGGATTTGTGCCACTGCCTAGTGGCAACAGGTGTTCCTCCTCACTGTAATCCCCTTGAGGTGTCATGGACCCTAGGCCCCCGCCCCAATGGTGATGACACCTCCCTCCAGTCAGAGGTCAGTGGAAGCCAGCTGAGGAAACTCAAAAGTCATGACACGCTTCACATCCACCTGGCTAGGGTTGGCAGAGGCCAGGTAGGGATCCTGGACTTCAGTCCCCATTCAAAGAAGAGTCCATGTCACCCTTCCTCCAGCAGCATAGCTTTAGCAGAAGCCTGCTAAAATGGAATACTTAAATAAGCTCCAGAGTATCATCACATGAGACTTCCAATGTCCAAATAAGTCTCAGAAAAGAAATAAGATATAAAAAACTAAATGCATATTTGAAAACTAAAATATACAGCAACTAAACATTTTAAATTATTGGGTGGACTCAGTGAGGCATGGCAATGACAGAAAAGAATCAGTGAACATCAAAGGCAGAACGACAAAATACCCAGTCAAGCCACACATGGTGGTCCACACACCTGGAATCCCAGCAAATGGGAAGCCGGAGGAAGAGGATCACAATTTCAAAGCCAACCTCAGCAACTTTGTATTTTCTACTTTAAGAAAAATCTTACCAAGCCTGGGTTGTAGCTCAGTGGTAGAGCACCCCCGGGGTTCAATACCCAGTACTGCAAAAAAAAAAAAAAAAAAAAAAAAGGAATTCAAGAATTCAGACAGGGCTGGTGTTGTGGCTCAGCAGTAGAGCACTTGCCTCGCAAGTGCGAGACCCTGGGTTCGATCCTCAGCACCACATACAAAAAAATAAAAAAATAAGCAAGTGAAATAAAGGTGTTATTTCAATTACAACTAAAAAAATCATAAAAAAACAAACAAAGTAATTCATTCAGAGGAACAGAGAAAACATACTGAGCCTCAAAGGTCTATGGGACCATAAATTTTGTAATCTGTCAGTGTGATTGGAGACCTAGAAGAGCAGTGTGAGACTGAAAAAAAAGTATCCAAAGAAATCATAGCTGAAAATTCCCCAAATTTGTTGACAGAAACCTACAGATTCAAGAATCTGGTGAACCCCAAACAGAATAAACCCAAGGAAAGACATGCTGATGCTCCATAATCAAAATTCTGAAGACAGAGAAAAAAAAAATCTGAAGAGCAGCAAGAGGCAAATAGTACTTGACCTCTAGAGGAAAAGCAACTCAAATGACAGCCACTTAACCCGCAATCAAGGAGACCAGAGGAAGTTGTTTATCACTTTTCAAATGTTGCAAGAAAAGATTTGTCACCCTCCCATCCGCCCCCTCCCAAATTTATACCCAGAGAAAATGTCTTAGGAGGAAGGTGAAAGACATTTTCATTTGAAGGAAAAACCAAAGGAACTTGTGGCCAGATCTGCCTGAAGAGAATGGCTAGCGAAAGTTCAAAAGAGAGAATATAGTGACCGAAGGAGAACGAGAACGTCAGAAATGAAGAAAGAAACGCAAAAGTAAAAATGATAAATGTAACAGACTATTCTATTCCTCTTGAGGAAATTATATTTAACAAAAATTGTTACATTGTTACATTGTATGGGTTCAGATGTGTGTAGAGGAATCCTTACTGTCGTTACATGATAAAGAGGGGAGAATAAACTGGATGGAGATAGCATTTCTGTATTCACTCAAAAGGCAAAATGTGGAACTAGCAGATTGGCAAATTCGTATGTAAAATGTAAGACCTTGGAGAAAGCACCACAAATTATACCAAGAGGTATCCTCAGAAACACGGTAGATGGTAGACAAGTCAAAATGGAATCCAATTAGTGCATAAGAAGGTAGGAAAAGAGAACAACAATGTGGTTGCCTAAACCACACGCCAGACCTACTGAATCGGGACTTCTAGGTTGGTGCCACGATTATGGATTTTAGCATATGTCCCTGGGATCCTGGTAATTAGCAGTTTGAGAACCTCTGGTGTAGACTAGTATTTTTTAAACAGTAAGTGGCCAAACCTATTAGTACGTTGTAAAATCAATTAAGATGATCATGGCCAGCCTTTTTTTTTTTTTTTTAAGAATAAGAAAAAAATACTGGAGTGCATTACACTTGAGATTGGTGGGGGTGCAGGTGGGGGGCATTCTATAACAGATTTGTGTGTGTGCTCAATCCTTGAATGAGGGTAGGTCAGAAGAGATCGTCCCTCAGGAATGTCCTTCAATCAGTGCTGGACAGGAGCTGATAGACACACATCTCAGCTTTCCCCAAGCAGTGGCCAGCTCATCAGCGTACCCTGTGTTGGTTCACCGCCTTTCTCTGTCTCACTTCCTACTCACCTACAAGTATTTCTCAGGATAATTTCTCAAACTATTTGGATTCAAATCCTTCTCTGCCTCTGCCTCTGCCTCTTAGGGAACCTAACCAAAGACACTTTTTCTTTCTGGGTAAGATTGCGCTTTGATTCTTTTGGATGTCACAAGGTAGACATTGCATCAGAAGGTAGCTGCAAGGGAATTAAGGGGCGGATAGAGCCTCCCCAGGGAAGTGGCAGTGCATACCACCCATGCTGTTCCTGTGTTGCTGAGGGTGAGCTGCTTCAACCGTCTGAATAGTCCTGATCCCCAGGACAGGTGTAATACTCTTTCAGTGTCACAAAAAAAGGAGAGTGAATGCCCACCCCAGCCAAGCTTCTCTATAGGTGTGGGGACCTCATTATGCAAAACATTAGTCAGTGGTGACACCCAGATATATTCTTTTGTCAGACCACAGAGGAGGGTGAGTTTCTACCCATTCTCCAGAATTCTGAAAACCAGCAGGAGTGATTTCTAAGGGAGCTTTAAGCAGGAGCAGACATTGCCTGATCTTTTCCCTGTGTGTCCACGCACGTGTCTCTCAGAAGGGGTTTTGGTGTGCAGCCTAGGAACAGTGCTCACGGGGCTTCAGTGCCATTTGTTCCCCTGGTGAGGAGCATTATTACCTGACATCTAGGAGTGTCAGGCCACTCCAGGGCATTTTCTCTATGGCCTGCCAATCACACAGACCTTGGTTAACTTTGGCCACAGCAGTGTTTTGTAAACAGTCCCAGAATTTCAATGACATGATAATAAGTACTGCTTGCCCTGATGTCCACATGTTGCCTGATTGGATTCGGCTGATGGCGCTGCTGATCTTGGCTGGGCTCACTCAGGCCTCTGGGGGCCTACTGAGCAGGTCCAGGCATGAGTAGAGTAGCTCTGCTACACACTTCTTATTCCTTTGGGGCCATTAAGTTAGCCTGAACACACAGCAGTGTAAAGAGGCCAAGTATAAAGAGGCCAAGGCAGCCCCAGCACCTTCTGCAACCTTTCATTAGATTCTGCCTACTAACATCTCACTGGCCAGGTCCAAGATCAGGTGCAAACACGCCTATTGTACCCGCGGGAGCCATGGGCTGGAGTGGCTCTTGAACAACAGTCTATTGTTGCAGCTACCCATGTTCACAGTGATTACAAAGACCCAGTGCTATAGCAGGCATACAAAGCCTAGTGCAGTGCCTGGCACATAGTGGGAGCTTGTCATGACTCTGGACTGACTGCGTCAACTCCTTTTCCTTTCTCTACCCTATAGGCTTTCCTGATCCTTGGGGCACCCACAGGGATGGGTGAGGCCCACCTGACCTGTGACACCTCCCAGCAGCCATCATCTCACTAGGGCCCCACAGTGGCATTAGGATGCACCTCTCAGCGGTGTTCAATGCCCTCCTGGTGTCCGTGCTGGCCGCAGTCCTCTGGAAGCACGTGCGGCTACGTGAGCATGCGGCTACTCTGGAAGAGGAGCTGGCCCTGGGCCAGCAGGACCCAGAGCCAATGCTGGCCCTGAGGATCGACTACCCAAAGGCTCTGCAGATCCTGATGGAGGGCGGTACCCACATGGTGTGCACGGGCCGCACACACACCGACCGCATCTGCCGCTTCAAGTGGCTCTGCTACTCCAACGAGGCCGAGGAGTTCATCTTCTTCCACGGCAACACCTCCGTCATGCTGCCCAACCTGGGCTCTCGGCGCTTCCAGCCCGCCCTGCTGGACCTGTCCACCGTGGAGGACCACAACACCCAGTACTTCAACTTCGTGGAGCTGCCCGCCGCCGCCCTGCGCTTCATGCCCAAACCGGTGTTTGTGCCCGACGTGGCCCTCATTGCCAACCGCTTCAACCCCGACAACCTCATGCATGTCTTCCACGATGACCTGCTGCCCCTCTTCTACACCCTGCAGCAGTTCCCCGGCCTGGCCCAGGAGGCCCGGCTCTTCTTCATGGAGGGCTGGGGCGAGGGGGCACACTTTGACCTGTACAAGCTCCTCAGCCCCAAGCAGCCACTCCTGCGGACCCAGCTGAAGACCCTGGGCCGGCTGCTGTGCTTCTCCCATGCTTTTGTGGGCCTTTCCAAGATCACTACCTGGTACCAGTATGGCTTTGTCCAGCCCCAGGGCCCAAAGGCCAACATCCTCGTCTCTGGCAACGAGATCCGCCAGTTTGCACAGTTCATGATGGAGAAGCTGAATGTGAGCCATGCCGGGGCCGCCCTGGGAGAGGAGTACATCCTGGTCTTCAGCCGCACCCAGAACAGACTCATCCTGAACGAAGCAGAGCTGCTGCTGGCGCTGGCACAGGAGTTCCAGATGAAGACGGTGACAGTGTCCCTGGAGGACCACACCTTTGCAGATGTTGTGCGGCTGGTCAGCAACGCCTCCATGCTGGTCAGCATGCATGGAGCCCAGCTGGTCACCGCCCTCTTCCTGCCCCGGGGGGCCACTGTGGTTGAGCTCTTCCCATATGCTGTCAATCCTGAACACTACACCCCCTATAAGACGCTGGCCACGCTGCCCGGCATGGACCTCCAGTATGTCGCCTGGCGGAACGTGATGCCAGAGAATACAGTCACACACCCTGAGCGGCCCTGGGACCAGGGGGGCATCACCCACCTGGACCGGGCCGAGCAGGCCCGTATCCTGCAGAGCCGTGAGGTCCCCCGGCATCTCTGTTGCCGGAACCCTGAGTGGCTCTTCCGAATCTACCAGGACACCAAGGTGGATGTCTCTTCCCTCATGCAGACCATACGGCGTGTGGTGAAGGGCCAGCCAGGGCCACGAAAGCAGAAGTGGACAGTGGGCCTGTACCCGGGCAAGGTGCGGGAGGCGCGATGCCAGGCATCGGTGCAGGGCGCCTCCGAGGCTCGCCTCACTGTTTCCTGGCAGATCCCCTGGAACCTCAAGTACCTGAAGGTGAGGGAGGTGAAGTACGAGGTGTGGCTGCAGGAGCAGGGGGAGAACACCTACGTGCCTTACATCCTGGCCCTGCAGAACCACACCTTCACCGAGAACATCAAGCCCTTCACGACCTACCTGGTGTGGGTCCGCTGCATCTTCAACAAGATCCTCCTCGGACCTTTTGCAGACGTCCTGGTGTGCAGCACGTAGCAAGCAGGCCACCGCCAGGCCCCAGGGAGGGTGGCTTCTCCAGCTCTGTGCCCTGAGCCCGCTGATCCTGCTGTGGCAACGTCTAGGGTTGACTTGTTTATTTATTGGGCAGGCCTGTGTCCCTGTGTCGTCTTATCGCACCTGGGTGTGGTGTTCCCAGGGCTCCTCTTTGTGCTAGAGAGGTGGGCCCCCACCCCCTTCTGCTGGCCTGATCATCCATACCCTGGAGAATTCCTTAGTGGGCAGGAGGGGAAGGAGGAAGGACAGTAAGAATCCTAGGGAACCGCTTTGGCTAAGTGATCTTCTAGGTCCTTTGGGTTATGTCCAGCCTTCTGGGAACTGAGTAACCACCGAGTTGTAGGTTGGGTGGTCCATCAGCTTCATTGCCATGAAATTCACCTGCAGCCCAGTGAAGGGTGTTTGGAATAGTCATTAAATGATTATAAACATCTTGGTCACGTCTTTTCATTGAGTAGTAGGAAGGGGGTTGGTAGTCCTTCAATCCTGATTGTCAACCAAGGAGATGTGGCAGTGGGCACATCTGAGCAGTGAGCAGGCTGGAGAGAGCTCATCTGCCTAGCTGGATTCATGCCACCTGTATTGTGTATGTGGGATAAAGCCCAGAAGTAGGTGGGAGAGGACGGCGATGAGGACGAGCATGGCCACCAGGAGTTTGTCTTAGACTCAAGACCTGGGTAGACGGAGCTGGCGTCAGTTCTGTTAGGATGGAGGTCAGTTCACTCATCAGGGTGTGGCAAGCAGTTTTCTTCCTGTGGAGTATCCTCACCTTAGTCCACTGTGCCCCAGGTGACCACTCAAGTGTGAGGATACCAGGTCCACCCCAGAAGCCCCGTAGGAGCCAGTACAGTGTCCACAACCGACAGCCGTAGATCCCAGGGTTCCTCAGTGGACGTTCTCGGTTCTGAGTGTGATCGCCCTGAGGGAAGCCTCATGCAACAGTGGCCCACCAGATACCAGCTTCTCATCTTTCCAGTCCAGCTGTGGTTTTTAATCCCCTTTCCCCCATCAGTAGTTTCGCCCAACACTGCACCCGATATTCCTCTGGCTTCCATGGGAACCGACTGGACCACCAACCCAAGATCAGATTCCACTTGAGAGAAGACACTTTAGTCCTTTATTGGCGAGGAGCCCCTGCTGTAGGTCAGACTTTCATGAAAGCAGTGGGGGAAGGAAAGGGTGGTGGGCAAGGAAGTGGATCCCCCCCCAGGCGGTAGCTCAGTGTCTCCCAGGCTGGTCAGGAGCCCCCGAGCCAAAGCTGTCCATTAGCTGGGCATCCCTGCCACACTAGTCCCCGGCTGAGAGGTGCTGTGGGAAGGCTGGCTTCGGTGCCAGTACAGCAGCAGCCAGGCTGTCCACCTGTCACCTCCACAGCAGGAGATCCAAGGGGCGTATTTTCATGGTTGCCATGTGCCTTCATAACATTCCCTTCACCCTGCACATCTTTCTCCCTAACTATAGCCCCCATCTGCCACCACCATAAATTGCCATGTGAGTCTACACATCATGACTCAACCCCAAACCGGAAGTCTCAGATCCTGCGAGGGGGTGGGGGGAACAACCACCTGGAAAACCATTTGGCCACTTCTACAACTGCTGAGCACTTAGCTACCCCAGGTCTCAGCTGTTTTATTTCTAGGCAGAAACCCAAAAGGAATGACAGCTTATGACACTCAAAAGATACGTACAAAATGCTCACAGCTCCACTCTTGACAGTCAGCCACTAAGTGACCCAAGAAACCATCACAGGTATATTCATCAAATGGACACAGCAGTTTGAAAATAAAAGAATGAAATGTGGGTGAACGCAAGAACTTGGGTCTCACAGACATGATGTCGAGCGGAAGAAACCAGAAACCTCCCCCAAAGCATGTACTGTGTGACTATTCCTATGAAGTCCTTAGGAAGGGAACCATGGCCAGAGAAGTCAGAATTGTGGTTTCCAGGAAGAGGGTAAAGACTAGGAATGGACACAGGAAACGGGAGGCTGGAAGCATCTTGATCCAAGTGGTGGTTGCACCGTGAGAGTCCACGCACGGAAGCTCTCTTTGAGCTTAAGATTAGTGCCCTATACGCACTTCCTGCACCACATAGGTTTTATACCTTGATTAAAAAGAAAACCTCTCAGCTTAGGGCCAGCTCTCCTGAAAACCCCCATCTGTGTCTCCTCCAGCTCCCCAGATAACTCAGCCTTTCATGCAATTGACCTCCAACCCTGCAACCCAACCACAGCCTCCCAGGAGGCTTCTTGGTGCCCACAAAGGCTTGCTCCTTGGCTGGGAGCTCAGCGAATGTTCATTGGTTCAATGAGTGAAGGGATTTCTGCCTAAGTCTAAAACTGTTTTTATAAGTTTGGGATACTGCTTTATGTGAGACTTGATGGCATTGTTTCTTTTATTTATTTGTATATAAACAATTAACAGAAAAGGTCTACAGACTCATTCCTTCTTGGACACTACACAACATGGTCATGGGGGCCAGTGGTCTTGGTGTGCTGGCCTTGGACACGAAGGCCCAGAAAAATTAGAACCACAGCTGTCCGTGGTCCTAATCTTTAGTCACTCCAGGTCTTCACAGAACTTGTCGTCCAGACTGTTGGGCAGAACCTGGCTGTATTTTCCGTCTTTACATCCTCCTGTCTGCTCAGGGCTGGTGTGGGATTCATACTGGTGTGGCTTCTGCATAGCAGTGATGACACATTCCACCTCATCCTCAGGGACCTCCCAGCTCTCTTGGTGAGGTCCACATCCACTCTCCTGACACCACATGAGGACATCTTTGCCCCTCAGCCTTCACAGCAGGGATGGCAAAGGCTAACTTCTGCCATCCATCAATGTTAGTGTCAAATACTTGCAGAATGTGCTAGAACTTCTCAGGGATTGCTAGAGACATGGCGGCGGCGGCATATAGGCCTCCTGTGGAAGAATGAAGCTTTGTTTTGTTCTTTAATATAATAATATGGACACTCTGTCATGTCACTGAGCATTATTTGAAAACGGACTCTGGGTGTCTACAGAACATTGCGTGGACTCACTGGAAGCTAGCATCTTTTCCCAGGTTACACTGTTGTGCATAGCAGGAGTGGGGCCTTCATGGGCAGGAGCCCAGGCCACCTTTGTCAGTGCTGAGCAGTACCCGCTCCCCCTGTGCTGCTGCTGCTTTTTGATGTTTTTAAAACATGTTTTATTATGTGTATTTATAGTGAAATGCACAGCTCTTTAGTGTTTCACAGTTTTTGAAAAGTTTACATATCCGTGTAACCTGGACGCCTAACAAATAGATCATTTCCATCAGCCCCATAGTCACAATTGTTTAACTAGAAATTATGCAAAAAATTTATTATAGGAGTTATAAGAGCTAATTTAACATTATAAGAGCTAATTTAACATTAAGAGTATTTTATCTATGCTATTTATTTTATATTTATTTTATTTTTTAAATTTATTTTTATGCAGTGCTGATGATCAAACCCAGTGCCTCACACGTAGGTGCTAGGCAAGAACTCTACCCCTGAGCTATAACCGCAGTCCCTGCTATTTTAACCCTGTATCTTAACACTCTGCCCCATCAAAGAACCAGGAGAATTTGAGAACTGGGCTTTGGGGTGCACAGGAAGTTCCTCAAAACCTGGTACAAGCCCTTAGTATTAATTATTACATATTCAACCCCTGGGGCCTTGTGTGACTTGGAATTCTGAATTTTTTTAGATTTAGAAAGGTGACGTGGCACACAGACTATGCAGCATGCAATACCCTTGGCTGGGTCTGAGGTTAGACCTAAAAACCAAACATACTCAGATTTCTGTAGGGAATTCACACTGAGGGTAACATGGGTTTGGGCACTAACCTATTGATTTTCAGAGCTTTGAGGATTTCTAGAATCACATATAGAGGATTGTGAACCTGTGTTACTATAGTCAGCTCCTCCAGCTTGGAGACTGCATCATTTTCCTTGGAGCAGCCCTTTGGGTGCAGGAGGGACAGAGTTGGGCCTGGGACGAAGCCAGTTGGGGCCGCACGGAGGCTAGCAGTTGTGGCCCCTCAGCTGGCCTTTCTCAAGGCTGATTTGCCTAAAACTGAGCAGAACCCCAGTCTCTCCCCCATTCCCCACCACCACACTGCAGACACCTTGCAGGGCCTCTCCCGGCAGCCTCTTCAGGTTGATGGGAATGTCCTGATTCCCTGTGCGGGCTCCTCAGCATGGCAGAGCATTCTCATTCCAAAAGTGATGTCTTAGGGAGGTTAAGTAGCAAGTACTCAAACTGAGTGTTTTTTTTTTTTTTTTAAGTGAAAAGTGGATGAAGTTTCCAGTTTGCAGGGAGGATGCAGTTAATAGACTGAGCAGACTTTAACCAGCAACAGCCAAATGCTTATCAATGTGATTGGCCAAGAGTTGCATTGCTGCTCCCCCATTCAGGGTAAATGGCCCTGCCAGACACGATGGTATACACCTAGGATCCCAGCCACTGGGAAGATTGAGGCAGGAGGATCACAAGTTCAAGCCCAGCCTGGGCCACCTAGCAACACCCTGTCTCAAAAATTGAAAAGGGCTGAGGATATAGTTCAGTGTTTGAGCACCCCCTGGATCCAAAATCCCCAGTACCAAAAAAATAAATAAAAACAGAAAAGAGAAAGAGATGCATCCAAAGGAACAGCCAGGAGAGGAGCTGTCCGTGGCTGGGAGGGCAATGAGAGCATCACTCAGTGGTGGACTTGGGAGTGAGAATTGCTAGCACACTTCCTGCCTGGGTTTGAAGTCTCACCCTTCCAACTACAAGCTGTGTAACCTCAGGTAAGTTACCCCGCTCTGTGCATCATCAATAATATGAAGATAATAATAATCATGTCTATCCATGTAAGCTACCTTTCATGGTGAGCCCACCATGAAATGCTTTATCCATGTAAGCTACCTTTCATGGTGAGCCCACCCCATCAGAGGGAGGAAGAAGCCAGTTGAGAGAAGCATCCAGAAATGGTATCTTCATTGGGTGGGCTGGGCAGGGAGACCTGGGCCCTGTCCCACAGATCATTTCCATCAGCCCCATAGTCACAATTGTTTAACTAGAAATTATGCAATAATTTATTATAGGAGTCATAAGAGCTAATTTAACATTAAGAGTATTTTCCCTATGCTATTTATATTTATTTGTTTTTTTAATTTATTTTTATGCAATGCTGAGGATCGAGCCCAATGCCTCACACATATGTGGTTGATATGCACTGGACAGGCTAGCAGGGGGTTGCTCAGGGTCTGTCCACACATTCCCCTTTCTGTGCTGAACAGAATTTTCTTCATGTCCAGGACACAAAGGGCTTAAATCACCCACAGACAAGAAGAGTCTGGCTTGGTGTTTTCAGGAAAGCTTCCCACCCTCCCCAGCCATCCCACCTGCCAGCAGAATACCCCTCCTTTCCCAGGTTAGATGTAAGGGAACCAGACCCAGTTAGATGTAAGGGAACCTGTTCTCAGAATGTGACTCTGCTGCCCCATAGAGGCCAGATAGCTGCCCGTCACCCAGATTACCATCTCTGTTCAACTCTCAGAGCCATGGTGTGGAATCAACAAAGACTTCCCACACGAGAACAGGCTTGCTCTCACTAGGGAGTCAGGGATCACTTGTGTCTGGCAGAGACTCCAAGACAGGCAGAGGAATGGGAGAGTTTACACTGGAGGAAAAGGAGGGTGTCAGGTGTCCCTGAGTGGATGCTATTGACATGGGGATTCTGAAGGTGGGTTACCTAGAACTGGAGTGCCTATGAGCCAGGTTAGGGGTGGCTTTCTCTGGTTGGTCCTGAGAGAGAAGGAGAAGGAGACCAAAAAAAAAAAAAGTGGAGAAGCTTGACAGCCATCGGCCAAGTCCTCACCCTACTGGGCTGATGCTGAGATGCTGTGGTTTGGTTTCCTGGGCTGGTTGTGTCGAGGTTGCGTGTCGTAGTTCTATTGTCAGGTGTGGTCTGGCTATTGACTGTTTGTATATTCAGTCCCTCTGTGTCAGACAGTGTCGGCTAGGTTATTTTTTTCTAAGTAGAATGAGTCTCACCTGATGGGACAGCCCCAACTCTGCTTTGGCAATGAAATGTCTCTTTGTATTCCTCTCTCCTTGCCATTTTCCCAGAGTGGTCAGTGTGTCACTCCCACCTCTGGCTAAGAGTCGGTTCGTTAGGCAGAAGGCAGAGCAGTGTCTAGTAAATAGAAACTGGCTGGGTCCAGACGGAAAGCTTGGCCTGGGTATCCTTGGAAAGAACTTAGAGCAAAGGGAGAAAAGACAAGAAGTCAAAGAAACACGTCTTGGTGACCATCAGATAAACCCCTGAGCGACCTGAAGCCAAAATCCCTCTTCCAAGGGCCTTGCCTTTCCATGCCCACGGAGCAGGTGTGCTGGTTGACTGTAGCCCTCACACCACCTCGCACACTGGGTTGGAAGCTCCTTGAAAAGGTTGTAAAAAAATCCGATAAAAGGCACAGGGACCAGAAGGTTTTATGGGAGAGTTCTGTAAAACCTTTGAATAAATGATTCATATTTAAATTAGTCAAAAAAAAGGACAAGATTCTGTATTCATTTTATGAGACTTGCTTAGATTCAACAAGATGGCCATAGAGTACTGAAGGAAACTTTAGACCATCCATGAATATATATGCAAAGATTCGAAATAAAATATTAGTAAATCAATGCTTCAGTTCCTAGAAGACTAAAATACCTCAGCCCAACAGGTTTATTCTGATAACATAAAAGTTATTTAGTATTAGAAAATAAAGGAGAAAAACAGTATGTTCAATAGACACTGAAGAGACCTTTCATAAAATGCCTACAATCTTGATCTTCGATCCCCTAAAATCTTGATTTTTTGGAAAATTCTTAAAGAATAAGAATAAATTTGGCCTTCCTTGACTTGGGGAAAGACATATTTCAGAAATGATGTAAGTCTGATAATAGTCAGTGGATGATGTAAGTCTGATAATAGTCAGTGGTGAAACCGTAGTGTTCTCTCATTAAAGTTAGGAATAAGATGCAGATGTTGCTCTTATTGCTATTATTCAACTTTCTTCCAGAGAGATCCCAACCCAAGTAATAAGACAACAGAAATAATTGACAGGTATACATTCATACACAAAAAAATTTAGAAAGGTAATTTTTATCCTTCTGTGAAAATATTATTTTCTACTAAAAACCCCCTAAGACATGCATCTAAATATTTACTTTAAAGATCTAAATAGAAAAGCATTCTCAATTACTAAAAATTATATATTTACAGTGAGCTTATTTGTGGAAGAAAACTTTAAAATTTTATTAAAGAATAAGTGGGGGGCTGGGGTTGTGGCTCAGCAGTAGCAAGTGTGAGTTTGATCCTCAGCCCCTCAGAATGTCACATAAAAATAAATAAAATAAAGGTGTTGTGTCCAACTACAACTAATATTTAAAAAAAGAATAAGTGAACTGATAAACCAAGTCCCTGAATGCTGAGCACTCAATAAATGAGTCAGATTGATGCTAATTAATCTATAATTTGACAGAATCCCAATGAAAACACCAATGGGATTTTGAGAACTGTGGGAGAAGAGTGGCATACTTCAGGGAAATGAGATCATATTAAAGACAAATGCACAAAAATAGCAAAGAAAAAATTAAAGTAGAACAAAAAGAAGGGAGCTTGCCCTACTAGATAGGAAGAAATCAAACTTTAAATTAAAAGGGTCATATTGATGCAGGAATTAAAAAAAAAAATCAGTGGAACAGAAATCACAAATGGACCGTGGTGGACATGTATTTCGTATCTGCTAAGGTACAACTTCCAGATCAGTGAAGAATAGACTCTTGATGTTGAAACAACTGACTCTCCACTGGAGGGAAAATGAAAGATCTCTAACTCACACCATTTTCAAGTATAAATTTCATTCGGACTGAAAATGAATATAAAATAAGTACTATATGAGTATTTAAATAATCCTCAGAATAGTGACAGCCTAAGAGGACATGAAATGTAGGAGACTCAAAGGAAAAGAAGCAAATTTGATCACATGTGTGGGGAGCCACATTGAGTTACCACAACTTCCAGTCCTGATGCACCACGGGGATCGGAAAGAGCTACACTCACCTGTTCTTTTATAATCTTACCCCTTTGCCCTGTTTGGGATAGAATGTTCCATGGAAACTCCCTTTGTGAGTCCCCTTCTTTTGCTCTGCCTTTGTGTGTGGCCTTCCTCCTTGCCACAGTCAACCAGCTGATAGCAGACATCAGGAAGCTAGACTCAACCCCCTGAAACCTGACCCCTGGCCTCATTTGAATGGCTTCTCCTCAATAAAAGGGTTCAGCACCTGCTCACTCACTTGCTCTCTTTTTGTGGACCCTTAAGGTCAGAGGAGCTGTCAAAGGACCCCAAAGAGAAAGGTATCTCTGTCTCTTGTGTGGTTATTTCGTGCAGCCCAGTTCACCTGGAGTGACCCTGAGTGTTTTAGTCCTGGAACGCAACACACATGAAAATTAAAATTTTCCAATTGGCCAAAGACTCCATTAACAGATACAAATGGCATACTTGAAGAAAGCATTTATAACATGTTTAACAGGAAAGATTGATTGCACTAATTAGACTGGAAGATCTCTACCAGATTAACAAGGAAATGATAAATACCTTCAGAAGACAAGACAACCCACAGAAAATGCAAATGACAAGCCTAAAAATGGAAAGATCATTTCATTAGTAATAAGAGAAGTGCAGCTGAGCATGGTAATCCCAGCAACTCAGGAGGTGAGGCGGGAGGGGTTGCAAGTTTGAAGCAACTTAGTGAGACCCCATCTCAAAAAAATCCTGGGGATGGAGCTCAGTGGTAGAGCATGCCTGGATTCAACCCCAGGACAAAAAAAGAAAAGAAAATGCAGATTTTAAAATAGGTCTCCATCTTAGATAAAAACCAAGTCCAATGAATGGATAAAGAAAATGTGGTATACATACACAATGGACATATTACTCAGCCTCAAAGAATGAAATTATGGCATTTGCTGGTAAGTGGATGGAACTGGAGAATATTATGCTAAGTGAAGTAAGCCAATCCTACAGATCCAAGGCTAAATGTTTTCTCTGATATGTAGATGCTAATTCACAATAAGGGGGCGTAGCTAGGAAAGAATATAGGTACTTTGGATTAGATAGAGGGGAGTGAAGGGAGGGGGTGTGGAGGGGAGGAAGGATAATAGAATGAATCAGACATTATTATCCTGTGTGCTACACATCCAGTGTAACTCTACATCATGTACAACCAGAAGAATGAGAAGTTATACTCCATTTATGTATGATGTGTCAAAATGCATTCTATGTTCATGTTTAACCAATTTGAACAAAAACTTTTTAAAAATGTAATACAAGGATATCGGGGCTGGGATATAGCTCAGTTGGTAGAGTGCTTATTTGCCTCACATGCACAAGGCTCTGGGTTCAATCCCCAGCACCACAAAACAAAACAAAAATACAAAGATATTGGAAAATTGAATACAATAAATTGGTGTTTATAATGAATAAATTTATTTCTTCAAGTGATAAAAAACCAACTCTGAGAATATCAAGTATTAGGGTGTAGGGAAATAATCAGTTCTCTGCCCTCTTAGATTGATAGCACATTTTAGACAGCAATTTCTTTTAAAATCAGTAATGCCCATAACTTGGACCCAGAAACCCACTTCTGGGAATCTAGCTGGCAAATATTTCATGTCATGCAGTGATGTTCACAGCACCATTGTTTGTAATTGTTGTAAAAGAAAAAAAAATTCGAGCCATTTAATGTTCATTGTTATGGGAATGTCTAAATAAAATGACACATTCCTGCCTTGGAATTCCATGTACCCACCAATAAAAATGAAGTCAGTTCAGATGAATATAGAATTTAGTAAAAAGTAAAAAGTGTGACTGAAAAGCAAAGCACAATTCCAATTCTTTATTTGCACGTAGTGTGTATTTAAAGAACATATACACACAAACATCCTCAAGGGAGGTTCTGGTACTTTCAATTATTGTCCTCTTTGCTTCTATTATTCATGGATTTGATTTTGGTGAGCATGATTACTTTTATCACTTTTAAAGAAACAAACAAACAAAAAAACCCATAACTGGTAGGAATTAAACCTAAGCATTTGTCTTTATAGGCTTTAAAATCTCAGGTCAGAATCAACCTCGTTTATTTGTGCGACAGAGTTAACAGCCAGAGCCCAGAAGGCAGGGAAAAAATGTGGAGAGATTGAAAATTCAACACACATCCCCTGGCCCAGCCAGGTGGAACAGTCCATGGCGTCCATGTGACCCTCTGGTTTATGGCTTTTCCTGCTTGTCCTCGTGATGGGTGAGCCCAAGGAAATATGGCCATCAGACGGATGCTCCTTGGCCGAGGGTTGTGCTGTGAGGAGTCCACCAGCAACCGGGCCCTGTCTGAGCAGCCGTGGGCTCACGGGTCCTTGTCCCTGAAGAGTGTGAGGTTGTGCTTCCGGATGTGTCCCAGCAGGACTTGCCCCCGCCGCTCCAGGGTCTGCAGGACCTGCTTCAGCCCCTGGGCTCCACCTTGGCTCTCCCAGAACACTGGGTCCATCTGCAACGACTTGAGCAGCAGATTCTGTAGGCAGCCTGATGCAAGAACCTGCACAGCAGACTCGGGAAACCTGCAGCAAAGTCCCCAGAACCCCACAATAGAAAGGGAAAGCAAAAGTGATCTCAGAAAGTTCCAGTGAAAGGCGAAGGCAGACTGTCCAAGTTGCACAGCTGGAGAAACCAGGCAAAGTTCCCAGGCCCGCTTCTGCCATCTTGTCCTCAGGGGATTTTTTGACCTGCTGTGCTGTGAAAGCAGAGGGCAGATCTTCTAGATGGGGCCCATCCCACAGAGAAGCCTGGTGGATCAAGTCTGCTCTCCTCTGCTCTGTTTGGCAAAGGCAGAACCAGAATAAGCCCTGGGAGGACCCAACTGCCTGCAAAGGGTGAGCAGGGAATCTCAGTCCCCAGGCTAGCTCTCATATCCACAGCAGGGGAAGAACTAGCCTTCCCAGACCCCAGTAGGACTGCTGGTTCTTCAGAAACAGGAGGATATCAGGGTGTACCCCTGTCAGCTTTCCCAGGGCTCCCCACTTCTCCTAAAGCTCAGATCCAACAACTTTGGTCTGATGGACTGTGGCTTTCTCAGTATCCATGGTCCCACAGTCTGCAGCAGGGCCATCGAACCTCATTCCGTGAGCGTCCACCCAACCCCTCAGATCCTCACCCGTCAATGCCTTCTAGCAGCCGAAAGTTCAGCTTGTCCTCAGGGTGCTGAAGGTTGCCGGCATTATCGATGTAGACCAGATGAGACGGATTGCTGCTCCGAACCTGGGGTGGGAGGAAGGGGGAGAGGATGGACAGAGAGGGGTGGGTAAGGGTGCAGGATAGCTGGCACCTATGGACTGTCAGTCTTAAGGGACTGGGACCCTGAGCTGTCAGTCCCCACAATCCATCCTACTTGTCCAAATGGTCCCCGTGACCGAGTGCTTACTCTATAAGGGGTACTATGCTAAGTGTTTTTCAAACATGATCTCAATCCTCCTAGCAACCCTAGGAGGAACACACTAGGATTAGCCTCATTTAACAGAAGCAATAAAAAAGCAATTTGCACAAGATCACAGCTTATAAGTAGCCTGGCTGGTTCACACCTGGACCTAGAGAGTTAAGCCCCTGCACCACCTGCTAACGAACAAGACAAGGAACCGCTTCCTGTTTGCGGGGGCATGAGTGGGAGCTGGGAGGTGCAAAAGGGTTCTACTCCTCAGGTCATCACAAGAAATTGCACACGTGCATGCTCACACTACACACGTGTGTACACCTACACACCTACTTTGCCACCTGCACCCGAGCACCTGGCATTCCCTGAGCATCATTAAAAGCACAAGTGACTCACACCATTTATCCTCAGAAAGCACTGATCAGACTATTTCCAGAGGAGGAGAGCTTAGTGTCTCCAAACCCTTTTCCAAAGTACAACCAGCAACAGAATTCTTTAGTACCTTAAAAAAAATAAGGTGTGGTTAGGACTGGAAGCCATCTTTTCTGGCTCCTACTCCCATGCACACACTCCATCCCCTGCATTCTCCAAAATTCCATGCTAATTCCCCACAATCCTCTCTAGCAACCTAAGCTTAAGTCAGGAGATTTTGTTTTCAGGACCCCTGTTTCCCCGCTCTCTGCCTCTTCTCCAGTCCACTCAAAGAACTTGTTCTCAAACTCTGCTTCCAGGAGCCCCCAGGGTTCTCTGGAGTTTCTCTGGGGTGGTGGAGTTCCACCCCCACCCCACCTCAGCCACACTCTCAAAGCTCCATTTGGTCAGTTTTATGCATTCATTGCAGATTCCAGGAAATATACAGGCAAAGGGTTCTGCTGCTAAGAAGAACAGGATTGGGAAACAGTAGTGTCTGATCCTCTGAGACTCGCCAACAGTGCCTTCCGCAAGAGACAGGAAGACCCAGGTCTGGAGTGACAAGGAGCTATTGTGTGGAGGAGACATACCAGGATGTGGACCAGTCGCAGCTCTGCGGGGTTCCGGCATTTCTCTCGGAGTCTTTCTTCCACACAGGGGTCTGAGGGCTCAGGCTCGAAGCCACAGCAGTAGCGATCCAGGCGGTCATGAACCTGCAGGGATAGCCAGTCTCTGAAGGGGTGGCACAGTGCCTGCCTCTAGCAGGCCCAGCTCTGAGGCCACCTGGCCTGCCGTGCCCTCACAACACCGGGGCCTCTCTGGGGCCCATCCTCAGTGGCTCTCTGTGCTGGTCAGCTCCATGGCTGACCTCCAGCTAGGAATGGAGCCTCCAATTTGCTGCTCTGGTCAGCTTGCTCCGTCCAACAGGAGCTGTTTGTTCATGGCTCGGTATGGATTGCACCCGATGCCCACTGCTCCTGAACCCTGGCCTTGAGGACACACCGGGCATTTTAGAGTGGGCCAGAAGGGTTCCATAAGAACACTTGGTATTATCCTCCCTTTAGAAGGCAGGAGTCATGCCTATGGGTCAGGAACCAACAAGATTGTGGGTCAGCCCCTCGCCCTGACCTACAGGAAGATATTGTCTGCTATGAGCCTCAAGAACCAAGAGAGAGGCCTAAATAGAGGTGGTAGAATCCTCTGGAGATAGAGAAGAAGGTTCTGCTAGGGAGAGAAAGACAGGAGAAGAACCATAGTAAAAAGGGGAGGCAATTTTAGAAAGCTTGGGATTGGATGAGAGATGAATTCAGGATGAGTGTCCAGGGAGAATCACCATCACTTACAGGATTCACTAGTAGGGAAGACTCGCACTTTTTCCCCCTCTTAGGAAAGGATCTTGATTTAACACATGACCTTGTTGAGCACTTAAGGTAGAAGGAGAGCTCTCAAGAGGTCTGGGTGTGGAAGGACTTGCTTTGCATGAGACAGGAGGAAAATTCAGTTTGTTGCTGTAGAAAGGGAGAGAGGAATGGAGAGGGGTTAGGTGCGGTAGGGAGCCACAGGGGGCAGAGGGGTGAGATGTGCCTTTCGGTCACTCCATCTTGGAGCAAAGCTGTCATCCCTGTAAATTATTTAGTGGGTGCTGGTAATGGGGCTGAGCTTTGAATTCCAGTTGGTATTGGGGGGGGGGGGGGAATTAGGGCATGAGGCACAGGAAATACACAAAAAAAAGGAAGAGCCAGCTCTCTGGGATTTTTCTGGGTCATTTCCTTAAGTCTCCAGGAGGTGGCAGCAGTAGGGAGGAAGGATTTGAGTTCTGGGCACTGGATAAGTCACATAGGTGCCTAATTCTCGGCCACAAAGTGTACCAAGTTCCTGAAAGAGCACTGCATGGGGAAGACTATGATCCCATCTTTGCAGAATGGCTGGTCTACACTAAAAAGCCTGGGAACACCACTGGGGAGAAAGACACCAGCAACGGCCCTACAAACCAGCTCCAGTGAACATGCCTGGGGCTGGGGCCACCCAGTAAGAGAGGAAAGAGTCTGGGCAGAGGTGGGGGAAAGACAGCCGAGGGGGGCAGGTACAGGAAGCCAGGTGGCCCCACGCTGGGAGGAAGGGGAGGAGAGCCCAGGCAAAGCTGGCAAACTTCCTCCCTTAACAGTCAGGAGGCTCCAGTTCCTTGCAGCCAGACTCATTCCCAACCCTAGTGCTGATGGCACAGAACAGGCCCAGGCTTCCCCTCCACAGAAATGGCAGCCATTTTCATCCAGTGAAGCGATGATGGAGCATCCCTCAGCAGTGATGCTATAGTATGGTAGAAAATACATTTGGTCTTTGTTGCCAATTCCTGGCAAAAGGCTCCTAAAAGCTTTGGAATTTTTCAAGTGATAGCAATATTTTATTACCCACAACGAGGCCCTTTGGGTCACATCTGTGTTTTTGCCAATGTGGCTGCTCAGGGTGAATAGGGGTGGGAACTTTCACGAAGCCCATGACTCCAGCCAAGTGGGTCATGCGGGCTGCAGATGGGATTATAAAAACTTCTGAACAATGCAGAGAGCTTCAAATTCCAAAAACTTCCAGAATGGTGAACACATCTATCACTTCTCGGTGGCAGGGTGGCACTCCCCAAATCCTCAGGGACATAGGCTACACTTAGGGCCCTTCCCGACCTCCCCCTGTCCACCTCTTCATCTGGATGTTTACTTGTACCCTTTACAATAAACCGATAAAAGTAAAGTGTTTTTCTGAGTTCTCAGAGTCATTTTTTTTTTTGCACATTTTTTGCACATCGAGGAGGATCCCTTACTTCATAGCTGGTTGCTCAGAAGTACACTGTAACTAGCATCTGAATGGAGACTGACTTGCAGGATTAGATAACTGACTTTGGGTAGACAGTCTTGACACCAAATTGGTGTTGCAGAGTTGATTGGATCAGGAAAAAAACCATCATCAGGTGACCATTACCACCACCGCTGTCACCTCTAGCTTGCTTCTTCCTCTTCGCAGCCTTGCAGGGAAGGCATTATTATCCTCACTCTACCCTTGAGGTCCCAGAGCTCAAACATGCCCAAGGTCATAAGTGCAAGATGGGTACAGCTGGGATTTGAATTTGATGAGTGAGTGCTTCATCCTGGAGGTGATGGGCTGGGTTCCCCTATTTGTGCAGGGTGGGCTGCAGATGGGCCCAGGGAAACAAGATGGTGGTGCTGGCTAAAGCCCAACCAGGTCTGACTCAGGTTAGACCACAGAAGATAGATTGGACCCTTGAGACACCACCCAGGCCTGCTGCTGCCTCAGCTGTCATGGAAGGTAGAAGGCTCTGGGTCTTCTTCCTCCTTCAGAATTTTGAATTCTTTTCTCCAGCCTTAATTAGTAAGGCTGAGACCAGATTAATTAATTAATTCCATGATGAGTGACAACGGAGACCTCCTTTGACCTCTGCAAGTGGCTCAGGCTTTCCTGTGCTTCAAGGCGGGGCAGGATAACAGGAGAGCTGGGGCTGCTTGGGCAAGCACACACTCATTAGAGGACCTGGTTTTCCTGTGGGAGAACTTGTCTTCCCTGCTGAATATTGTCTGTTGGCATCAAAGTCCCCCGCATTCCCAATCACAAGGTAGAAAGGGGCCAAGTTCCCCTGGCCACTCACCTTCACCCCTGCTCCTGGCTTCCCAAGGCTTCCCAGGGCTTTTTTCTTCCATTCTCTGAAGTTCTTAAGTCTTTTTTTTTTTTAATAATTTTTAAATTTTTAGTTGTGGATGGACCTTTATTTATTTGTATGTGGTGCTGAGAATCAAACCCAGTGCCTCACACATGCTAGGCAAGTGCTCTGCCACTGAGCTACAACCCCAGCCCCAGTTCTTAAGTCTTACCAAAAACAAATTCTCACATTGCTGAAGTCTGTGGCTTGAGTTTTCTCTTTTGGATGAAACATGCTTAGTTTCTAAGACTATAGCAGATATCTTGGTACCCACCCATGAACCTGGAAAGGTCCCCATCATATAGCTCCCTAGTCTAGGGAAGCCCTCTGGCCCCTGGACAGATATGGCCTCCCAACTCAGCAAACTAAAAATGCCATAAAATTAATATCTTTCTACCATCAACCAATGTCTTATGGGAGTTGGTGACAAATACCATGGCACCTCCCTCCTAGAGGATAATACTCTACAGGAGTGTACTACACAGTCTGTCACGGGTCCCCACCTGCGTTGAGCCTCACTCGCCCACAGTGGTCGCTCGTTCATTACTGCATCCTTGGTGGACTTTTCTTCCTTTCTTCTTTCTCCTCCCCATTTGTTCGCCAGGCTTCCTAGAACCATCTCCAAAATGAACTTCTGGTACACAGATCCTAGTTTCGAGGTCTGTTTTTGGAAGACCCCAAATTTAGGCAGAAGCCCCTCACAGTCTCCATTTGCTGCCATGTGTCCAGGCACTTCTTGATTAATGTTTTAATTAAACTTTAGCATCTAGCACAGGACACGATGCTCCATGGAAGGTCAGATTAGAGCCGGGTGGAAACAGATTCCAGATGCTGAGTCTGGGTAGCATCCTTGCTAGTCTGCTCACATTGCTGATACCTACGGAGCATGCCCCAAGTGAACATATCCAAGTCCAAGACTCTCATTTGTGGCCATCCAACCAGGTCTTCAATTGCAATTAAAATAACTCTGCTTTGAGGAGATTAAGAAAACAATAGTTTATTCTGAGCCAAATCAGTGACCATAACCCAGGAACACAGTTTGAAGAGATATGGAATGATATAGCTCTTCCCTCTGTGGAAGAAGTTACAGGAGCTTTTATAGTCACAAAAGAAAGTAGGTGGTGTCACCAAGCAGATGGACTATAAAGAGGCAGGGGAATCCCTTCTCCAGGACTCAGATGCTGTCTTTAGCAAGGTGGGGAAATCTTTTACAGGATTCAGATATTCTCACATCCTTGCTTTCGGCTAGGTAGAGACCAAAGGTCTCCCAAGCCCAGTGGGAGAATTAAGATCAGGACTCAGATTTCTTGCTGCTCTCTACTTTTCCACCCACAATGTTACCAATGTCCCCATATTGCCTTAGGAAGCCTGCAGGGGCCTGCTGTGGGTCCACTTTCCTGTTGGTGGCCAGTAGGAGAGAATGGGAGAGAGATAAAGGACCTGTCCCACCAACAGCCACAGCATAGAAATTCCTCCCTTCTGCCAAAGGGAGCAGCTGACATATATTCATCCTAGTCCAACAACAGTCAGTGGTGATGTACTGATCCCTGAACCCATCTTCTCCCAATCTAGGAGTGGGTGGAAAGTGAGTCAAGTTGGAACAGAGGAAGGAGCATAGAGCAGACAGCTGGGTCTCCTGCAGTGAGGAAGTCCTCATTCAGACAACTAAAAGACCGGCCAGGACAAGCCTGAGGATAGGGCCCTGCAGCAAGCCTCCCATCCCTCCCATTCATTCCAAGTCCACTAAAGCTAGTCTCATATCACCATATGTCTCCATATTGTCCTTGAACTTAGCAAGGGAGATTCTGAAGGATATGGAAAATAACATCCCCCAAGAAAAGGGGAATGACAGCCCCCAGGGAGAAAGGAGGACAGTGTGATCCAGGAGGGGAGGAGGGGAAGGCAAACAATGGGCTCTGGGCTGTGGACTTTCATCCCAGTAACAGTGGGTTTCACATTTTCGTATTGTCTAAGTTTTCTCAATTTAGACTTTGAACCTGCACAGCTAGT